AAGAAATTAGTGCGCAAAAACGGTGTCATGACTTGGTGGAAATTTTTGTATTCATTTTGATTATACTCCTCTAACTGAACTAAGCCAACGAGAATATCAAACTCCGTAGCCATCTTGATAGACAATGTATTTACAAATAGTGTATGTAATATTCTTCCTAGTATATTGGCCTATGAAGTATCTGATCATTTTCCTATTTTTGCAGTCTTTGATTTTAAAGGTATTCATGAAGAACAACCAGCTGTAAACAAACCTCAAATCAATTATGTGAGTATGAACGTTTTCTTAAAGATCTCTTTTTAACTGATTTTAACCTTTTGCTGTGTGTTTATATAAAGAAATAATTAACAATGCTCTATCTTTCAAAATGGTCAAGCTCTATTTTTTACTCTGACTTTGATTGTTCTGTATATATTAAAAAAGGTTATTCATGTCATAACTAAACAGTTGTGTAATGTTGTTAACTCATGTATTGAGCAAGGTTCTTTACCTGTAGACCTGAAAAGTGCAGAACAAAAATTATATTCATAAAAGAGACCAAAAGATATATTCTTAAATTACAGACCCATTTCAATACTTCCACTCTTCTCTCAAATTTTTGAAAAACGCATCAATACCAGGCTACACAATCTCCTCGATAAACATAATATACTTTCTAATAAGCAGTTTAAATTAAGGGCCAGGTAAGCTCTTTTCAACAAAAAAAATTCATGGAAATCCTACTGTCACCTTTTAATTATTTCGCAGTTTTCTAAATGATCGCAAACTATTCAATTGTTTTAATTTCAATTTTCAGAAATATTGAAGCTTACACCCAGATTCCTGTGGCATTCCGCAGGGATCAACCATAGGCCCCCCTTCTCGTTTTAATTTATATAAATGATTAACGACCAGTCTATCCCGTTTTGGATTAAATACTATTTGCAGACGATACAAATATATAGGCATAAAGATGTTGAATGCCTGACCCAAAATCTGAACAATGAACTCCTAACAGTTAGTAAGTGAATTAACGCAAACTGCAACTAACTATGAACAAAACCATGTTATGTTCTTTAAATTTCCAAAAACGTGTGCTAGCGAGGTAAAAATACATATGAATGGAAATGTGATTGCACATACAAATTCAACAAAGTTCTTAGGTATTAAAGGCAACGTTTAACAATATTAAAGTAGCTGAGCGAAGAAATATCACATAATCACTAAAAATGGGCAGATTATACATGTCTGGAAAGCTGAGACCAATCTGAACAAAAACCTTCTGCTCTAAGGTCTTGTAAATGAGATGCATGGCCCTACGTGTTATCAGTGTCTGTGATATGGTGTAATATTGAAGCCCTACAAAAACTGCGCTTTAAAATGATCATAAAGTGTCCAAAAAAGTAAAAAAAAATCTTTGAATTACTGGTTTTACCATACTCATTTCACCGAATAGACATCAATAGAATAGTGTTATAAAAATCGTAAGAAAACGAAAATGACATTTTGATTTACAATCATAAATATCTTGATTATCAGACAGGCGATCGGCTTGTTAAAGAAATAGTTGAGTTCTGTTTGCAGACCGAAAATGCCTTCAAAGTGCATGCTTGTGGCTTTTATTCTTATCCATGACATTTCTAGTACCCTTTTGGGATCTAAAAGGGTAATTTTAGACCACAAAATGTGTATAATTTAGCCAATACAATCATACCAATTCAGCTCCACTTTAATAAAAAAAAAAATACGGTGACCGTAAATTAATTAATTAATTAATAATAACGAAACATGGGCCGGCTGGTTGTGCGTAATATAACCAACATGACAAAGCCACAAAAAATCCACTATCGCCATTGGCTGAAATACAAAGGCCTATTTCGTTTTTTCAACGGCTTTTTCAAATTATCGAATATTTGTGGTGGTACACAAAATATTAGAAATTTGTTATATTTATGAATATTTCAGCCGTCTCTGATTCGATATTGATCAAACAAAGATGATTTGTCATTAAATTGTATGTTCTTTCAAATTTGACACTCAGTTTTTCATTATCTCACAAAAAAAATATTGTGTAGCGCCCTCTGCAACAGAACTCAACTCCTGACTGACCTAAATATTTATAATTATGATTGCAGTATGAGCTAAATCCAGGATTTTGTTTCAGAATCTGAGGCAATGTTAATACCGAGTCACTTTACTATTGATTAAGATCTAAAGCGAAACAATATTTCTATGAAGTTTTACGCAACGTGTCTAGAACAATAGGAACTATGAGTAAACTGAAAGACATCTCGCCCACCATAGTTTTATAATGTTATATTACTCACTAACAGGGGAGGCGATCCCGGGGAGACGGGGGGACACGTCCCCCCCCCCCCCCCCCTGGAAATTTGAAAAAGTGCAAAACGAATTGTATAGCATATACTGAATAATGACTGCAACACACTTTTAGGCTCTGGAAGGCCCAAGAGTGCAGCGTTTAGACTAATAAAATTGCTAAAAGAATCTCGCTCGGTCGCTACGCTCCCTCGCATAACATCCTCGTAAAAAAATTCGCATTTCGTCCCCCGGTCATTAACAGAAATCGCCGCCCCTGCTCACTAATATTGCCTGACCAATCCTACTGTAACATAATATAGTCAACCTGTTCGAAACGTCGAGCCACTCCCGGAACTCATTCTCTCCAAGTGCTATAGTTCTCCTTAGAACTATAAGCTAAGAAAGATAACCAACAGTCTTTTTCAAGACTATACCAACAGTTCTTTTCAGGACTAACAAACCCTCAAGAAAGATTACCGAGAGTCCTTTTCAGGACTCCTCAATCCTCCCTCTCTCTAACATGGTGCACCCGCAAGCCTGATGTATGTTTATTATAACCTGTTATCAGAATGCGTTGTCTATCAGAGCAGCAAAGATATTTTTAAATATAATACCAGGATATCAGCAGACAATCGAGTATTATATGGTCATTCTCCATCTTCAAATAATATCTTTTTATGCCAAGGTCCTACTATCTGGAACAAACTACCCCCAAAACCTATAAAGTGTGCATCTGTAAACAGTTTTGAGAATAATCTAAAAAATTCACGTGATGCAAAAGCTTTGAATTCGACAACCGTATTTTGTTATGTGTGTAATTACCATTGCATAATTTATTTGTCCGTTTTTGTGTATGTGTCTTAGTTTTTGCATTATGTGTAGGATCATATACCTATACCTTTCTGTAACTTTTTGATGATCCAACCACTTTGTAATTTTCTTTACTGTGTTTTCCATTTTACTGGCTTATCTATGTTTGTAAGAAATATTGTATTTTATATCCACTCGTCCACGACACCTCTACTATACGTATGAGCACTTCAACTTGGGTGTAACAGTAAGGGCATTACAATCCACACTCCACAGGACAGGTCTCGCAGACATTTATAAGCTACATGTAAAAAAGTTACCCGAGGATCTACGATAGATGCAGGCTCAATATGGTGCGGTAACTTTATCAGACGACGCCCTCAGCGCTAACTATTCAACTTGACGCATTAGGGTCGATTTCTATAGAAAGGCTGTGCAAACTTTGGGCCAATAAGAGTTTTCCTAAAAGTTATGACGATGTTGCATGAAATTGAGCCCTCGTATTAATTGGTTTGCTGTTGTTGGAGCAATAGATGTTGATGTTGTTGTTGTTATTGTTGCTACAGTTTGCTTTTCTTGGTCTGATCAGGCTTGTTTAGATAATTATGTTTTTTAACTATTATAAATGAAGGGGAACTGCGTGAAGGGACTGGCGCATATTCAGCTCTGTAGGGCCTATACTGTGTGGTAAGATGCATAAATGCGGGGTGTATTGCACTTCACGTCATCATCAAAAAAAAAAAATCGCCGAGGCTTTGCTGAATGCACCTTTTCCATGAATTTCACGTTTTTATTGACACTTAAAGTTGTAATGTGAGCCCCCCCCCCCCCCCCCTCCCCTCTATTGGTGTTTCACAAAACTCTGGTAAAGGGTTTTTTTTCACGCAACAAAGTCCGACCCGTAATACACAAAAATCCGGTCCGTGTTGACTTAACACACCTTTCCCCCTCTCATGACCTGAGCCAGTGGGGGATTCAGGGGGGCCAGACCGGGGGTACGGGCCTCTTACCCTTGCCCCCAAAGAAGTAAAATGCACCTTTAAGAAAATAACGGGCCCCGCTCAAAGGGGGGGGGGGGTTGTTTAAAAGGGGCTCACTCCCCTCCCCCCTCCCCCCCTGTTAAGCAAATCAAAATATTTATTCTCACTACCTCCCCCCCCCCCCTGCTTATTCACCGGCTAATTCGCCGCTAAATATTTTTTTACACGAATCCCCCCCCCCCATCCCTTTGGCCTCCGCTGGATCCGCCCCTGACCTGGGCACACCCCCCCCCCCCCAACCTTAAACCACCAACAGTACGCCACTTAGGTTTGCATTTCACAAACGTCATCTCAGGAAGAAGATAAAACATAAATTTTTGTCTTGAATGAGAGTATATTTTTCGACTTTTCAATGGATCAAAAATATATTTGGTTTGTTTGTTAAATGTTTGTCTGTTTGTTTGTTGGTCTATCTGTTTATTTATTTAATTATTAGATTTTATTTTATTTTTGATCATTTTGTTTAGGACTACTATTGATTCAAATCACTCCTTACAATTAATCTTTCTTTGGAACATATATCATCAACTAAATTGGTTATAAAGATCGAAATAAGTCGAGTCTATCTCCAAACTACTCTGACGTTTGTTAAATTGAATGATGTTTACTTGTGGTTTCCCCCCTTCCCTTCTAATATCCACCCCCGTAAAAATACTCCTGCATCCACTCTTCTGGAGTACGTCAGCATATATGGCATCCTCTTCCTCTCATGTTTCTGCTGTGCGGCGCTGCGCATGAAAAAGTTCCCCCACCACACCGCACCCGTGCACCGCATACCACTTATTCCAGCTTACTCCATCAACAGATATTCATCGAATTACTCTAACACTATTTCGAGATCTTTTGTCCAACATGGGGGCTAAGAAGTTGTTCCTTGGAACTTTCCTGCTTTTTGTGACAATATGGATAGTTTCCGGACAGGAGGAGGAATCTTGCGACCCTGTTATGGTTCCAAATATCCCCAAAAGAAACGGAGACAACGGGTACAGGATTCGAGTCGACAGGCTTCCCACTGACTATGTGCCCGGCCAGGAGTATCGGGGTAAGTTTCATTCAGTATCCGCTGACAAGTTCATGCAGCGTCCAGGCCTGGCGGGGATGAGATCAGCTCAGATTTTGAGATTTAGCATGTCTTTATGATTATCAGCCTCCTTCGTTCATGGGGGCTATTTTCAGTTTATTTTCGATAAACGTGGTACACATCATATTGACTGTTACAAGAAACATTTGGCATGTTTGTGAATGAGTATGAATAGAGCTGGTTTTGATTGGGGTGGACGTGTGTGCGGTTTTTTTATATGCGTGCGCGCGTGTGCGTATGTGTGTGTGTGTGTGAAGGGGAGTAATCATTGGTAATTGGTACTTGGTATCTCTTTGGTTGGGCATTCCTTTTTGCAGCTCACTCAGGAAGCTATACTGGGATAATAATATACATTGTAGTAAGATTGTCAATTTGAATACAAATAATACACAAATGATATTGTAAGGGATAGGAAATATTATCTACCCAACTGCTATTCAGTCAGAAACTGTAAGTCTAATCTTTGATAAGCAGCGATTTGAACAAATATAACAAAAAAGTTCACAAAAATAATCATTGTATTTAAACTTTTAAAGTCACCCATATATTCAATTCATTAAAATCATATCTTCTTATCACATTGTGGGTAGGTGAATATTTGCAAAATTCACTAGCTGGTGAAGCATTGATATTTGTGGCCCACCCTATCATTTGTTAAGCTTTTCAGGGAGATACTTTCTATTGTAATTCTAGATTTTAAGATTGTCAAAACCAAAGTCATATGTTTATCACACAAATTTGTAACTATCAAAGGAAAGTAAAGATTTTCTGTAGTTTCTTATTATTATTACCTTTATTACTATTGGTATAAGTAGAAGTAGTAGCAGTAGTAGTTGTAGTAGTAGTAGTAGTAGTAGTAGTAGTAGTAGTAGTAGTAGTAGTAGTAGTAATATTAGTAGCAATAGTAGTAGAAGTAGTAGTAGAAGTAGTAGTAGTAGTAGTAGTAGATGATGTAGTAGTATCATCATAATGATTAGTGGTAGTAGTATGTAGTACTAGTAATGTTCTTTACTATTGCATCCCTTAAACAAGGAGCAATGAACTAGTTGTTTATGTAAGGTCTACATGTACTAAAGATTAAGTTAGTAATTACTTTTGTTAAAACATGGTTTTCTCCATAGTACTTAATGCACACATTACATGCAGGTACATGTATGTTATTACAATAGCTGGAGCAAATAAAGGCTTATCTCTGTTTGGGGCCAAAAGGGCATTAGCTCCTCTACTGTTACACAGAGTTAACACCCCTCTGGTTCCAAAAGAACAAAGTAAAGAGCTTTCGGAAGTCACATAGACAACACATCCTGAGTAATTTTTACAGCCAAAGTCAGACATCGTTAAGAGCTTAAAGGTAAAGACCAGTTATGGTCATGCGATTTCATTGTGAAAGAAACGTTGTGGAATCGATCAGAAAAGGTTGATCAGCTAGCATAGAAGTATTTGTGTGTACTGCAAGGTTCTGGAATCATCAAAGTGATAAGGAATTTGGCCCAGTCTTGGTAAAGTTACAAGCACTGTACACAGAAAGATGAATATGGGACTACGCACACTTGCACGACACGTGCGTTATATCTATCAGGTCCAAATAGATATGATAATTTACCAAATATATCAATTAGTAGGCGGTTCCTCTGCAAAATTTGAATGATCACGTATTAGTCACAACATATTCTTTCACATGATTGGTAATGAAAGCTTCCATTTCATTTTTTGATAGGGGGGCGTTTCCAAAACTGGTCTTTACCTTTAAAGATAACATTAAATTATGGTCATGCTATTGAATTGTGAAAAGTAACGGTGTGGAAGTAGTTTGAAAAGGCTGATCTTGCAGCAGCAGATGAATATTGGTGTTTACTGTGAGCTATTTTTAATTATCAAAATGATAAGAAATTGGCCCAGTATGAGAGACACAGCCACTGTACTAAAACATGTGTCCATGTTATGGAACTTCACAGACATGAAGCGTGAAGTTTTGACTCAAAAACCTTTAGCTTGTTTCTAGTCATTTTTCATACGTGAGAACATTTGAAGAGCCACCCTTTTCAGGGGACATACTTTTTTTTATGATACTTGTATCTACGCTGACATATAAAGAATGAAAAAGCTCACAAAATATTCTTCAACTTTCCCAGAACTCATCTTCATCCTTCCCTTTAAAGCGTATCTGCCACAGTTTACAGGAGGGATTAGACTGCCCTGCAAGGTCACTGGACAGGTGGTTATCTCATCAACTCAGCTCTCAGTTAACATAAGAAAAAGAGGATGATGGGGGACCAATGGTCACCGATTATGCATTGTTTGTTATATAGAGGGCGCAAGTAGCTACAAGTAGTGCAGTGGGCCTTTAAGGAGGCATGGGAACTTTTCTCTTGGTATATTTTGGAATAGAGTTGATCAAAATCCAGGGGTGGTATTCTGAAACAATGTTATCTGTTATCTTATTAAAACAATGTTAACCGTCATAACAAATCAAAATTAGGACAACTCATTCTCCATGATACCCATTTGATAATTAGTAAAGTGGAGAGTGGCAAATGTAGATTAAAGTCTTGCAATAATAGTGCCGCGGTGAAACTCAACCATGAACCATGTGATCCACAGTTCGTTGGCGTAGCCACTAGACCGCGACAGCTCTATGGGTGCGATTAAGCTCAATTTTGAAGGCAGAATGAGCGATATGAAACGCTCATCGTAAACGTTCATCGTAATCGCAGTTCCATGGTGTACACGTTTTTGTGAGTTTACGATCGGCGATTTTCAGTGATTCTACAAAAGTGAGAAAGGACGCAACCGTGTTTTAAACGCGTAACAGATGCCTGATTCTGGCCAGAAAAAGTCAAGCATAAACACGCCCTTAGACACCTCTAGAATCAGGTCATCTGTGATAATCCAAGAGTTAATTTTCCTTGACATGAATCTTGATGCTATTTTCAAAGGGCAAGTTGTCCTTGTCGTAATGCTGTCTCTATCATTATTTATTGAAAACTCTATAGAATGGGTGATGTTAAACCGAACAAGAGTATGTACCTTAGCTCCTGTGGAAAACAAATGTTAGTTGATCAGCATTAAAAAAAAAAAAGAGTAAATTATGATAATCATGAGATAATTTTCCTCTTTCAAAGTCCATTGTTCTGCCATTTAAAGCAAGCAGCTGATTACTATGGTTTGTTACTTTTGTGTACTCTTTTAATTAGGCCCAGTAGCATATGTTTTATTGTTTCAACGTTTTAAAAAGTCACCAGTCTGAAAGTAAGATGATAATCATCATGATATGAATGCAATGATCATAATGACATTATCTTGAAACTACTACTTTAATTGTGATGATATATATGATGATTATGAAATAGAATTCTTAACATTTATCTTTTTAAAGAACCGCATTTCCCCTTACTAAATGATGATCTCTTATTATAAAACTGTAAGGGATGTTTTCAAATGAGATTCATAGCGAAGTTAGTAACAAAACTAAACTAAACACTTCAAGCAATGATATTTTTATTCAATTCAGTAAAAAAAAAATGGATTTCAGCTATATATATTTAACCTTCCAAACAAATTGGTAAGAAAGCAGAACATAAGTTAAGTTGTATTTTAGAATGATATCAATTATCAAATGTTTAAGTCCACCTCAAAAGGATTTAGCAGAACATTGAGCGTTACTTTTTGTGCTTTTATTTTACCATTTATGTGTTTTTTAAAGGGATAGTTGAGTTCTGTTTTCAGACCGCAAATGCCTTCAAAGTGCATGGTTATTGCTCTTATTCTTATCTATGACATTTATAGTGCCCTTTTAGAACCTAAAATTGCTATGAAGGTAATTTTAGACCCCAAAATGTGTGAAATGTAGCCAATACGATCATACCAATTCAGGTCCACTTTCCAAAACAACACGGTAACCATTAATTAATTATTTAATTAAAAATAACTATACATGAACCGGCTAATTGTGGGTAATATAAGCAACACAAAAATGCCAACAAAAAAGCCAACATCGGCATTGGCTGAAATACGACGTAAAAAGGCGTTATTTGGGTTTTTCAAAGGTTTTTTCAAATTTTTCAAAATATCTAATATTTGTGGTGGTACACAAGTATTAGAAATCGTTATATTTCATCCGTCTCTGAACCGATTTTGATCAAACAAAGATGATTTTGTCATTTAAATAGTATGTTCTTTCAAATTTGACATTTAGAATGATATCAAAATGTTAAAGTCCATCTCAAAAGGATTTAACAGAATTAAACATTGAGTGTTAGTTTTTGTGCTTTTTTAAAAACTATTTATGTTCTTCTTAACTATTTCAAACAACTAAACAACAGCAACACATATTTTTGAGATATGATATGACAGGCTCGCCTGAAATCTGAGCTTGTGAAACCGTGTCATAGGTAATATGGGACAAATATTCCAAGATTCGGTGACAGTGTTGGTGTATTTGTATGCAGAGGCACATACCCTAACGATACGTAGCCTGAGGCCTGACACTGACAGGTCAGAAACCAAACATGCCTCCCATACCAGAGAAAAGGTGAAGAAAAAATTAAAATCTAACGAAACTTGAAAGGTGCGTTCGTATATCTGAAGTGCGTGACTCCCCATGCTGTTAGGCTTGACAGGTTGAAGTATGTGTCTAGGGTTGGTGAAATGTTGTAATGCATGCAAGTTATCTCATATTCAACAACACTTCTGCAAAAGAGAAATTCAACCATCAATTTTGTTTTTCTTCTTCTTGATAGCAAACGCCCCTCTCTCCGAAGAAAATTCAAATATGACAAATATCCCTGCACCCTTCTCACAGTAGAGTGTAGGAATTTTTCAAAGGGTGTCAATCTTTGAAAGCCAGATGTGGTAAAGGAATTCAGAACAATCAGGGATATTGGTAAAAGTTTCAAGAAAATAAAATGAGCAATGCGAAAGTTTAAGGTTTTGAAAGCTGAGATCTAATATACAACATGTAC